TCAAAGAAAAATGGAAAGGAGCATGTTGGGCATAAAAAGGTCAGATAAAATAAAAAACGAATTAATACGAGGGAAAACAAAGCTAATGGATGTAAACCAAAGAATAAGATTGCTGAAGTGGAACTGGGCAGGACATCTGTGCAGATTAGAGTGTACGAGATGGACAAAGCGGGTGACGGAATGGATTCCATTAGATGGTAAAAGAAAGCAAGGGAGGCAAAGAAAGAGATGGCGAGATATTTTTACCCAACGTTGTGGACCAGACTGGATGCACAAAGCGCGCAATAGGAAAGAGTGGAGTGATTTAGGGGAGGCCTACGCCGTAGAGGCGACCGCTATGAATAGTGAAGATAAACCAGAGTAGAAGAAACAGGTTAAAAGGAATGGATTTACATAAACAGCTTAAGAGAAAGAACATAACACTATTAACATTTGTTTACTTTGAAATGATTTAAATCTAAATAAGTTTTGTCTAAAACATTGTAATTAGTGGAATAAAGGGCATTTTTATTTTTATTTATTTTATTTTATAAGTATTTGTTTTGCTCTCACACGTTACATATGACTTCATATGTCACGTTTCAATAAATAAACAACGGCACATATTTTGCGATCTAGCGACCTGGTAATCTACAAACTGTTCTCGACATATCGCATTACAAGGAATCAATTAAAACATGTGTCTGATAAAGATGTTCTATAAAATTACGCCTGTTCTTATAGGGCGAGCAAGCTCCGGACGTTGAGTGGGTACTTGAGTATTTATGATATAACTAATTAGATAAATACATAGTTTAACATACTAATTGCCTCGATAGATCTCGCTTAGTATTTATTTCTTTTTTTTTCACTTCCCTTGAACTTCGTCATTCTCGAGTCTTCTTGAGTTTTGCGCTTAGCAATATATTTTTATCTGAATTTATGCCTTAGTTTCACGATATCATGTAGATTATATTTTAAGGCATATGCTTTAATAACACGTAATTCAGTTAAGTATAAATAGCCAGTATCACTTCAAGTTAAGGTCAACCAACCTTTTCGTAATGTTTAAACTGCGCAAATAATAAATTAATAAACCGAATATAATATTATTGTATTTTAACAGATAAAAATATCCACCAGTTTTTATAAGATGTATATATCTTAATTATATTAGCGTTAGATAATATAAATATGTCGACTCACCTCCGGGTGTTGTTCTCTGTCGTTGGGTTTTGTTTCTTCCCACGCCATAACAGTAAACAATCGAAAGCCCCTTTTTTAAAAGGTGGCTTCAACATTTTCCAGCGCTTTCTAAAATCAATAGTCTTTGAACTTCCACTTTCACTAGCATCTGCACTAAGGATATTCGGTTCAGATACACCTTTTCGCATCTCACTTACACTGTTGGGTTTTTTGGTAACCCTTTCAAAATTTAATGTTGACACTGATCCACCAGGAGGACACGTTTTTCTTTTAGACAGAGGCGTTGATGTAACAAAAGACGTATCACCACATTCTAAACCACTGTCCGAGAACTCCGAAATGTCCGTAACACCTTCACAAATGCTATGCAGCTTAGGTCTTCGGTTTGGCACGACTGTTTTGGCATTTAAAATACTATTCTGTTCGAAATTTTTACTTTTCACATGGTGATGTATATCAACGAACGCTGTGACATCTTCACAACTTTTGGTGTTGTACTTGGATAGTGTGAAGTAGGACTTCGTTTCTTGTTTTGGTTCCGTTTCGACCTCCATTTCGCCGATGCTTGCCAGATTATCTTCACTTTTGGACAACACTTTTGTGTTTGTCAATTTCTTAGATCTCGGTGGGCGTTTTGGGGACGTTTCCGAAGTGACACGCGCTATCGAATAGGGTTCGTCTGCTCTCTTAGTGGGCTTTGAGTACTTTGCGATAATTCTGTTTATTTCAGCGTTGTTCTTACGTCTATATGTGTGTCGTTTGAAGTTGAGTGGCTGTTGATAAGCGTCGGCTACGGTTGCTCCGGCGACCCTCGCTGACCTTTCGCGCCATTCGGCCACTTTGTCCTCTATCAGCCTCTGCAGCTCGAGTGCGCGCATCATCGGCCCTATTTCTGGCATTTTGACGTAATTAGATAAACTTATTTTAATCTGTACTACTTTAATTTGGCAATGTCTTTGGTAATTCTCATGCAGCTAATACTGTTCAGCAAACTGCATTATTCTGCAACAAAACAAGAATACCTATGTAGATACATAAAAAATCGTTTCCTTTTAATCGTACCTATATGACTATCTGAGGAAACATTTACATTATAATTAGCACAGTCACGAAAGGTCTTCGCATTTCGACGTCCCTCCAATTAGTGGCCTAGTTTAGTTAATCAACAGCTCCTAATTAAATATGTAGAAGCCCTTCCAAGTTCCATAATGACACAATATTTTTATTTTCTACTAAAGCATTCTAGCTCTAGGCTCTTTTAGGAAACAGCAAGACAATAGAACTTACCAGAAGTAGATAATATAGAAGGTTAAGGAAATCTCACATTTTGATACTATTGTTAGGTACTCTTTTAATAAAAATAATGAGATTTAGTTTTGATATAAACTGTTATAAATACACAAAGAAAAAGAGATCTAGCCATATCCAATTGTTTTAGTTTTAACAATAACAATTTCTGCGTGATAGCAGGTACTAACAGTAACAAGTAATGACTGTAAGTACGTATCTAAATAGGTGCCTATTTGAGAGGAAGTGCCAACCGCGATTTCTAACGTCCTTCCGAAAACATGCCTAGGTACCTACCCAGTTAACCTTTACATCCTATCACCGGTACGTAAGTCATTATACAAAGTACAGGAACATTGTCGGAACTATCGAATCTTTATCGTAGTATCTTGATAACGACTAACCAAACACATTTGTTTGGCAATACATATTTCAAGGCAGACTTTTTTACTAGATACTCACAAGTAGAGCATCTACTTAAAAATTAAGTAGAACATTCAACAACGACGAAACTATCCTTTGTTAGTGCGAATTAAGCTATTATGTCTGTTATTTAAATATGTATAAGATTTTTATTTAAATGTTACATTGTCGAATCTGTCTATTATTATAGGCAATGCCTAAATGTTCGTATGCATACTATCTAAACAAAATTAAAAATAGTACTCACATACGCACATAGATCCCTTTCAACGCACGTCACTACGAGTTATTTGTAACTGATCAATACAAACGTTTTATTTGAATGAATACTGAATTTGATTAAATTTTACATGAGCTATTGTTGGTTACACAGCGTGTTTGACAATAACATTCGTTTTAGACAAACAATGCTGACTGAGGTATCTTGATAACAGATATCATGTAGGTATCTATCGTAAGAGAGTACCGAGATAAATTCAATGCGACATCGAAAAAGTATGTGGCACTTCAGAGTTTACGTATTTTGAAATTAGTTTCAAATCCCTCAACAAAGCCGTATCGGAAGCTCGAGACAGACTATTGTGTTAAAGCATACGGTATAACGTTATCCGTCATTACGTAATTTTATTCTCGCCGGTGAGTATGTAGGTCTTACTTGTACGCGTTTCGAAATTCTAATCAACTTTACGTAGAACACCATAAATATAAGGAGTCTTTCTACTGTTTAGGGTACTAGTAAACTTATGTGAAACAAACCATTGTGTGCCATTTCTTTTTTTTTTAATATTCTACTAATGGCATTGCAAAATAAGGGTTTTACCTAACACAAACGATCTTGACGTCAAATTCATAAACGAAAGCACAAAGAAAGGAAAACAAAAGAAAATGACATCATAATGATAATAACTTACTTAGCTTTTGAATTGAAGAACTTTTCATTATTAAAATGTCACTGATCACCAATAAACGTCGCGTTATCACAGTGATTAGGGCTGGCTGTTATATTATCGAGTACATTCACTGAGAACGTTTACACAGTCCCGGCGATGTTATGGTGCGTCAAGGCACACGTGTGGCGAGAGCACGTGCAGATTCCACAGTGAGCCACTGAGCGTTCCAGGCGAATGCTCCTGCACTTGACTCAGCCACCAACAAACACGGACCGGCCCATCCTGCCTCCACTGATACAATGGAATAAATAGAGCATCTCCACTCATACGGCTTACTGGCATACTCATTATTGTCCTTTTATCATTGCATCACAACGTCGTCATTGTGTACATTACTTGAATGTTTTCTTACTGATTAAACTATTGTTAATTCCCTTATAATTGTAGAATATTTTATTATAAATACCTAAGCGTAGTTACCATACTAGATACGAGTGACTAGAATCTCTCATTTATTAGAGACGGGTCTCACCCGTACAAAATTCATAGTAAATGCACAGGTATTCCCAATATTCGCCAAATTGCAATATTAGCATTAAGCGTGACCCCATTTTAATTTCTAGTCTGCGTTCAAAGAAATAAAACTTGCGGTATTGGATTCTAAACTTGTGTTGTTCTAGTTTCTATCCATAGAATAGTTAATTGCTATTATCTGTTTTCATGGGGCATTGTTCGCCGCTGCGAGCGTGACAAGTGCTTCCGCCAAGTTCATTGTCGCACCAGCATGTCGGTTGTCGCATTCGTGCCCCTCTGTGACCCCGTCCTTATTAAACTTTCATATGCATTTAGTTAAGGATTATAATCATTATCCATCCTTGCCTTCGTCATACTAATCCTAACAACCAATAGAATTTTGTTGAATGTTATAGCACCCACTCGTAACGACTGGACTGATTAAAGTGAAATTCGGCTCACGGATATGTACCATATGATAGCTAGAAATATCTACATAAATATTCACGAGAATGCAGCTTGAATACCTAGAAACAGCAATTAAGTACTTGTTATAATAATAAATGTTATCGTTTCCTTGCAATTAAAATAGGAATAGCGGACACATTTCTTATCTTCTATGTTAATCCTCTCAAGTTGGACCCGGAGAGTAGTTAATATAACTAGTTTTGCGAGGGAACCGCAATACTTCCTTTATTTATATTAATATAGGATCATATTAAACACCAATATCTTTACTACAAGTCTCTATGCCATTAGTAGTTGTACTAGTAACTGTAACCATTTTTATTAAGAGGTTAATTTACGTGAATATTTTACACACACATATATATATATATATAT